GCCTGCTGAACGGCGATAGCGAAGAATCAGTACGCTGCTCATACTGCTCCGTATTGAATGTGAATGAGAACGACTTGCGGATTTCATTCGAGAACACCTGCACCGACTCGCTGGTCACCGCTGCTAATATGCGACCAAGGAACCGAAATGGTGCACTTTGATGATGTGTCGTTGTACGGCACTCCGAAAGAGGAGCCATATGCTGTGCTTTAATCTGCATTGGCTTCACTCTTTGGTGGATCATCGACGCAAAGAAGTCCGCGAAGCACTTGCGAGGAGTCGTCGCTGGAATTGGGTCGGTCGAGGACGACCTTACACTTGAGGGGGGGGTAGTTAACTTATAACACTTAGTTAGCTTATAACACTTAATGTAAGGTATTATTCAACACTTATTATCGGGTGCTAGACAAGTTAAGGAACAGCCCTGGCAAGGGCAACTCTACTTACGCCGGTGAGGCTATGATTTGTAAAAATATAGATCAGTCTCGTGTTTTAACTCGTACTGATAGGACATGCTAAAAATTGGTGTCATATAAGTAAAACTAAAAATAGTGAATATAATAAGAAAAACCAATAAAATTAACTGTTTCGATTATTCAAAAAAGAACAATTAAAAGCAGGGTTAAAAAGCGTTCTTCCAGTAAACCGCTTAAATAAATATTCACTCCGTCATTTGCTCGTTAAATGGCTTATTTCATTGTCTGAGCCCGAGGCCAGCAATAAGAGGCACAGTCGCCTCTCAACCTAACTTTCAGTCACCACAGGACTGGAAATCATATAATTTATACGTGCTGTGTGAGGCGGAGGAGGCAGCCAGAACCATCCGAGACGCCCTCGCCCAGCCAGCCAGCCAGCCAAACTGCTGTGTCTGGCAGGCGGCATATTTTTTGTTGACAACTCAGAACCGGCTGTTTATGATGATTATTTCAGTTACAGTCAAGTCATAAGATATATGTATCCATGAGATACAGTGAGAGAGAGAGAGAGAGAGAGTGAGAGAGTGTACCGTTATAAAGATCACCTTGCCAGTGGGCGGTTATTTGAGCTGGCAACAATGCGAGTGCATAATTACTTATTGTTTATTTCCTGTGACATGCAACGCGCATGCCGACGGAACGTTAACTAGTATACAACAAACAGAAAATAGGTCTACGGTCTTACCCATATTAAATGCCCCACACACACCTAGGAACATTGCAGAACGCATTTTACGTTATCTTCTTGTGGCCCGTGGCCCATTGAATCGACCAATGTGTGGTAACATCCGCTTAAATGCCATAAAGGCTCACAAATTCTATTGCGAAGTATATTTCCCATACCCTGACCAGGGCATTAACATTTTGTGAACATTTTGTGCTGTAGTTTGATCGTTATTTGAACCTCTTTCCTCTTTTTACTGCACCTTTACCATATCGTACAGCTCTTGCTATGACAATGTCTTGTCTTCAAAACTGTGCATTTCTAAAAGCTATATTTGCCATCTCTGTCTGTCCCATCTGTAGAATGCCCCAAATCGGTAAGAGTACTCCAACTTCGACTTGTCATAAAGTGAAATAATAGAATATAGAAATAATAGAATTTTGCTATCTAACATTTATTTTAAGTATAATTATTTTCAATGGTCTTCCATATAAAGCTGCAACGCCGTAATATTCCCATGCTCTAAATAAAGGTCAGCTGACTATGGCTAGATTTATTATATTATATTAGCATAGTAAACAAGCTTCGGATACTTTGATTTTGCTGTGAATCCCATATAAATGCGTGACTGTCAATATGTATATTACTATACATCATTTTATTCGGTGTTTACTGTATCGTTTATCAGTTATCATCAAAATAACCGTGACTTAAATTATCGGGCAAAACGCGTCAGTCACTGCGAAAAAATGTGAGGAATTTGCATGTGAACCACCTGTTACCGATACCCTTGGTCAGGGCTTTACACATTTTCTGTTTGCTTTGTATTTATACAATAATATCGATATATATCGATCTGCTCATCAGCTCTATACAACTCTGTTACTCTGCATATGAATTCAGTTATACTAATTACACTTAGTGCAGAAAGCTTCAAAAAGCTTTGAATCAAATTTGTTTCCTTAATTAATGTAATGTAAAATGTATCGATACTCAATAAACGATTATATAATAATATCTGCATATACTCAGCAATATTATTCTTCTGCACCTTGTATGTTACTGTATCAACTCCAATCCATATATACATCCATATCTCAACTCACATGCCTCTTAGCAGTCTTTAAGCGATATTTATTTCAGGAGAACTGTCATTTCTCAAGAATTCCTCTAGTGTATTTGTATTTCGTCACTTGGAAAAGACCAACCAATAATTTTCTATGACTTTTGCACTGAGTTATTGGCAATCGAATTGCACGAGAATCAAATCAATTAACGCGCTTGTCAAATAATTTGTTTTATTCTGGATTACCAAAGCTAGCAATATTTATGTTTGGCGATAAAAAGCGCGCGAGCTTGGAGTTCGAAAAAAAGTTAAAAATAATTATAAGAAATAGACATAAAAAGCCCACAAAAAGCTTTAAGCTGTGGCACACGCCAGCGTTTCTAATTATCTCATTCTGTTAAATGTAATTGAAACTGTTAATTTCCTGTCAGCGGCTTGTCAAAACGAGTATCTGCCAGGTCTGATGGGCGCTCAGCGGATACAGCTACAAATGCCCATGGATACCACCAGGCGCCAAGCTAGAAATGTGATATATGTATGTATTCCATCCAAACTTTGACCATATCTATTTTAACATGCTGAGCGCATCGTTTCTATTTCGGGTTGGTCTTAAAAACCTATTCATTAGACTTTAGTTTTTTTGCAAATAGCCTCAAGCCGAAATGTGCGCTTAACTATGTCCAATGGGCTAGAACTCTTCGAATTTTAGACTGTCCAAACTTTATCAGTTGCGTATTGCGGCTTAGGTCAGTTGAGGGCTAATTTTGGGCATTGCTTTCTGGATCTGCGTAGGATCGACATTGCGACAGAGCCAAAGCCCTGAAGAAGATGGATGAGACAGGAGCCAGCAAGAATGTTGCATAAATTTTTATGCACATACATCTATCATTTCGTACGATCCAAAATGAATCGCTTATGCAAAACAAATTTGACTGCTGTATTCGAAACTAAACCTGACGAAGATTCATGAGTGGAACCTGTTCAAAAGGGGGGATTTGCCAAATAAGTGAAGTGCTGAGCCTACCAAATTGATCGTTGTTTCCTGTGGGCAAAACAACCAGCCAAGAATGTAAGTCAAACGAACAATATATGGAGCTGGTTCAACTAATGATTTATGGGATGAACTTGTTCAATTGACCTACCCATTTCCCAACATATCTTATGCACATATTTATTATCTGTTTCTTTATACACGAAAAATTTGTACCTTTAAGCGAATCTAATCTTTATTTCGACTAGTGCGCCCACTGAAACTGAACACTGATGATAGAGCCGGTAGGTTCTTGAACTAGCTCTTCAGATAAACTGTTCACATTTTGTGCGTTAATAGTTGTCAATTTATTGATTAAAAATGATTACCAAATACCCAGCAATAATGTACAAATTTGAAATATAGAAATGTAGCCTGAATCCAATTATATATAAATATATAACTGTATATCTTTGTTTTATGCACGGAACTGATTCACAGATCTATGTATATATATTTACTGGTGCAATGAACCAGTTCAGTTCGTTAGGTACCGCCCTTATTGTAGCAAGTATGCCAGGGTATTGCGTTAATATCTGAATCACAACTGCACGCCCAGACGCCGCTGCTGTCAGTTACACGACATGCTAACTCAATTAAAATTCCATTGCCGATAAATGAAGTGGCTGCTTGTAGAGCAGAGGTACATTCCCGGCCCCACACCGAAAAAAAATACAAAAAAAAGGAAAAACAAAAAGAAAAGAGTCAACAGCAATTGTTGCGGCTTGTAAAAGCACTCAAAGATACTAACCACCACTCACGCGCACAATTTGCAGTGCCAAAATTGTTATCAAATAGTATAGTATTGTGCCGACATACCACAGTGCCAACGACCTTGTCCAGGGCTCACTCAATGGGCTGCACCACCAGCAGCAGCGACGCTTGCCGACAATTCTTATACAACATACCGAACTGCTTCGGACTTTGAACACATATTACTGTCTTGACGAGGCATAATTGGGACCATAATCGATCAAAGAATGTATTTTGATGTCCTCAACTGTCACAGGCCGGATTTGAAGCGCCTGCTAACACTTGAGAAAAGTACTTCTGAGGTGGGTCGCAAGCCCTCGAACTGATTGTTTAACGCTGATAAGGAAAAAACCTTAGCTGACATACGAAACGAATTATTCATTTCTTTTTAAATGTGATTTGTTGGCTTTTCGCGCAATTTCAGTTTGACAGATCTTTTTCGATTACCTACACTACATGCGATATTTTGAACTTTGTACTGTGAGTAAAACGAACTTTGATACTTCTGACTATGGAAGGCCCGAATGCACACATGGTAAGTTCCCAAGCAACTGGTATATATGAAATTCAATTTAATGCGCATTACCATAGAACTGCCTTATACACAGTGTATGTCCTTTGCTGAATCTATAAAAAAATAAAGATAACAATATTTAAAAATATCCGACTAGCAAATACCCTGAATGCCAAGCTTTTCTGTTCTTTCAAACATATAATCCTCTTTGCTGTTGCAGGACAGCAAAATACCTAATATATAACTAGTCACATATACTCACATAGTTGTTATACATTTTGTGGAGGATTAATCCGATTAACATAAATATAAGTATAGTCTTTATGACTTTCAGTTGTATACATCTTGACAACTCCATTATACATAGAATTGCAATTGGGAATGAGCTGAAGCTATAAAAGATACTACAGAAAAGCAGACCCAAGCATGGTCAAACATTCGTCGTAAAACAGTCCTTTGAAATGTCTGACAAAGTAAAATTTTGAAAATTATCTGCGGAACTTGTCAGACATTAATTATAAATAGAATAGAAAATTAAAAAGTGAGAATTGAGAAGTTTTATAGGTTTTTATTGCTGCTATTGTTCAGCCTAACTAAATTTTAAATAATTTGAAAAACATTGTAAAGGGAATATAGAACTTGGTGCAGCATGCGGCTAATGAAATGTTGCTGCTGCATATCGTTGCAATTCGGGACTTTGATGTTCGGCTGCTTATTTGGCCTGGTCGATTTTTACCTAGGAAGCCTTGGCGTCTATTACGTGTCTATTGATGAGATGCCAAAAAAAATAACTGTCTTTTTTGATAAGATGGACGCACGGCTATGCGTGTTCTGGTTCGCGGTAATATATTACATAATAGCATTCAGTGACCTATTGCTGATTGCTGGAGCAATGGCGGTAAGCAAGACAAGTCGAATGGAAAAATTCCATTAATCACTAAAGTCACACTACAGAAAAACCCGACCTGCTTGGGACCCTGGCTTATAGTAAATTTTATAGTTCTAATTTGTACTATAGCTACGGTTTTACTGAGTGTCCTTGCGGTTGTAAGAGTTGGTAAGCAAACTAATCCATTGGTCAGGTACCGCAAGGTGATCGATAGCGATCGACGGTATTTGAAGTTATCGATAGTTGATCGAAATTTTAATATTGCATAATGAAAAAGCTACATTGATCAATTAGTAGTTGAATGAAAAAAATATGAAGATCTCATTTTTGTAGATCGATTATCCTTACTATTTATCTTTTCGATAATTATCAATATTTACTTTGATAATATTAAAATGATCGATTGCATAACCAAAAATGATTTCTATTGATCGATTACTCTAGGAGGAACTGCTGTTTTTTAATTTTCAGCAATACTCAATAATACTCGATATCAGCTATCGATTTTCTCTGTACCGACTATCGATAGCTTTTCACTTTTATCTCAATAAATATTCACAAATTTGTAAATTATCATTCCATAGGAATACTCTTGTATGCCATATTAGTGGTGAACTCTTTTTATGACGAGCTTACAGCCGGATTATTCATTTAATTAAGTACTGCAATTATGAGTGAACAAATTAAAGTTTACGTGTAATTTGAATTGAAATGATGGGATCCTCGCGAGACAAGAATGGGGGACGAAAACAGAGGAGGAGAAGGGTCTGTGTGGGGAAACCGATTTCAAGCCGATGACAAAATGCTGCTGCGCTTTTATAAACAGGATTAAGCGATAATGAAACTGCACTTTTTTAAAATGCCGTCAAAAGCTGCGCTTAAGACTCATTAAAAATCCATTAAACTCGATAATAAAGAACAGCGCAAGAGGCGAGAAAAACAGACAACAAAAAAATACAATTTCGTTAATAAGCTTTACACCAAAGTGCTTCGCCTGAGAAATGGAGCACTTGGCGACAGTTTTTGGGGCAGTCGGAAAGGGTCAGCCACACATATATGTACACACATACACGTATAAATCTCATGTGTATATATAACTCATCCAACAGTCAACTGCCGGCCACTTAAAAGTCGTCTCATTTTGGGGCCCTTGTGAGTGCATTTCGATGTTGCATATGCAAATAAATCATTCCATTTCGAATCGAAGCGAAACGGCAACAGCGCCGAATCGCCTCTGCCACATGAGGTATGCAACATGTGCAGCTCAACTTTGAACTGAACTTTTGCACAATGGCCAAAAACACTCAAAATAAATATCTTTCGAGTGTTTGTGCCCGACTGTAAATAGATTATTACTTAAGTGCACATTACATAAATATAAATGCAATTATCTTACTTTTCTGAGCTAATTGCTAAATACGGTTTGTGCAGTGAATATGAATGAATGTAAATACATTTTTGAATATTACAATGACTGGGCGAGAAGCGAACAGTTATTGTCTATTGAATATCCACTTGAGCAGATCCATTCCTCAACTGATTAATATAGTTTCCAATAAATCAACGTCTGCTGAGATATAATTGTTGGAACAAAAGGAAACATTTTTTATACAAAATTGTGCTTATTTGTAACTTGTAATTAACTTGAAATGCATTCCATATTTACAAGCTGTGAACTCCTTCTGTCTTAATGAAATATTAAGCCCAAAGAAAATTGATTGAGACTCATTATAAGCCATATTCATTGGGCTATTTGCAATATTCTGAATTTATGCACATTCATTCCTCATCCTTGTACTCAACTTTTATGTTATAAGAGTTTAAATATTTCGACTATTTTGCAATGCAGTCAGACTTGAAAATATTTTTTGCAACGTTTCATAACTTTGCGCCTCTTTGTTTACCTCTTACTCATAATGCTTAGCCAGGCTGGAAGCAACTGAAGCATTTACTGCTTGTTCAAACAAAATGCTTGTGAGTTTTTTATTTCGAAAACGAATACATACAATCCGTGTGTGTGTGGACAAGCAAAGCTTAAACGGCTTGTACATATGGCTGGTCATAAAACGTATTTACCAGATACAGATACACTAGTCACACTCACACTGAGTGCAACTACTGCTCAATTGCAATTGCCTGTTTGCCGGGTGAATGACACGCTGAGTGTGTTCATGAGCTGTGGAACAGGTGCTGGTGCGGCGGTGCGAACGAGGACGCACTGTAACTCAAATAAGCCACACACTGTGTCAAACATTTATCAGTCGCTGCATCGATAAGGCGGCTATACAAAGTTGCCTCATGCAACAATCGAGAGAACGAGATAGAGGGAGATAGCCAAAGCCGAGCCGCAATGAAGTTGTCACGGTGACGGTGACGATGCCTGTGACTGTTCGATTTGTGTGCCGCCTCCTTCAACTTGAATACAAAACGTTTCAGTTTCACAACTTTGTTTAATGCACGGCATTAAATTCACTTTCCATTTATGAGCACAGACGCCGACGCCGCTGCCGCTGCCGCTGCCGCCTGCCGCCTGCCGTGCTTTTTATATGCTACTCTCCGAGTTCCAGTTACCCTTGGCACAAGAATCCCTGTGCGACGTTTTGATCCCTGCTCGATGCCAATTTCTAGGTAGACCGCAAAATTTATGTTGTGCCATTAAGAAATGTCTATAAAAATGTGAGCTTAATTAAAATACTACGTAACATGCGTTTAAATACCTTTGCTCCGCCTGGATTGTTTTCTTCTGTTTCGGTTTCTGTTTCTGTTTCTGTTTCGGTGGTTGTCGTTGTTGTTGCTGTCTGGTTGAGGCTATCGCGGGCGGGCAATGTGCTTTTCAATTTGACTCAAATGCCGCCAACATCGCCGTCTCAGCTGCATGCAAATTACTTGCATATAACCCATATTTATGGCCTAAGCGATAGTCCATGCTGGAATAAGGCATTGCCCATCGTCATCCTTTTTCAGCCTTTAACTTAATGAGATTTTCCCAAAAGCAAAAATCATAATTTTCACGCGCAACGAAGCACACCAAATTGCCAGCCAGGGGCGTGCCTCTTGCCACAATTCGCTCAACTTGTTTTTCTTTTCATTTTTCATATTTTTTCCTTTTTTAGTTTTTGTTTTCAGCAGTTGCTTTTAGTCCCACCCATCGATCCGTTAGTAAGCAGAACTTAACCCCAGTTGCAAGTTTTGTGTTGCCAGTTTCTGTTGCAAAATGCGTTTAACGGCTTAATAACTACACAATTTTGGCATAATCATGGCTTCTAGATGAATTTCTTAATTACCTTTTAGGGCATAATATCTAGACGCACAAGCCTCTCGTATTTGAAATATCTTTTTGCAAATTTCGAGGGATGGGGAGAGGTATCCAAAATCCAAAATAAACAAATTCTCTGTATTAATTACACAAACTTACAGAGTCAATCTGAAGCCTCAAACATTTAGGTATTCCAGTTACCTTAAAACATTAAATGAAATGATCGATAATTTATCGTAATTGAAACCCCTTTACCGCGTATTACATACACGAGTGTGCATTTCAAATTTCAAGTCTCTAAATATACTCAAATACTCAAGTGGACATATGCCCCTGGCTAGGTCAGCCCGTCAGCTCATCGCCATGATCAAGAAAATATATTGAATCTGTCATGAGTTCCGCCTTCTGCCTATAACATACATTATCCCATGATTATTATACCATGTATTAAATTATAAAAAAACTTTTTAAATATTTTATTTTACATTTCCCACTAATGTTTGAAATAAAAGATATTAAAATTATTCTCTGCCTTTTCGATCCACAATTCTTAATCTGAAAACATTTTAAGAATAAATATCGAAAAATATCTGGAATTTATTTTTGTAGATATTATTTGATTTTACCAATTGGAAATGTCTTTGAGGCATATGCATAATTTCTGCATTAGGGTCCGAAGCCTTATCTAATGAAACTGCGACGAAATAGAAGATCCATCGAAGTTCAGCCACTTCCTGAACATAACAGATAGCAGTTAGCCTTCAGCTGAGGCAGCTGCTTCTGACAGTCAGTTAAACAATCAAACAGCGTCGGCTACTTAAAGAGGATTCACAAGATCGTTTTAGGAGCTGGGTGAACAGTGTTTGTTCGCTGATATCAGCTGATTGACTGATTGACAAGAAAATCGCTCACTCTCACTTTCCACATCAACGAAGCATTTAGTTAAATGACAGCTGCGAATCGCTGCTTAGCGCCGTTCAATATTATTTATGGGTATTCTAGCATATGGATAGCATTAAAGGGGAACTTAACTGATAAACTTCTCGAATGCCTACATTTATATTTGGCAGTAAATTAGCTACAAATATATGATATCAACTGCGTACTGTAGTAACATATATTGTTACCAAAACGGCTGCGTCCTGTGGCACAGTAAAGAAGGTCGAAACTATAACATATCTTGAATATATAAGCAAGTCTATGTCCGATTAATAAGGCTCTGAGTGAATAAATTCTGATGTGATGTGGATAAGAATCGCATGATTAACTAGAAGCCACTTATACTGCGCCTATAAGAACTACATTTTTTAACTTTCGAATTAGTTTAACGTCATCTTTTATGTTACTATCCAAAAAATTTCACTTTCTCCGAAGTAACTCAGAAATAACTAAGAAGTAACTATATTTTTTAATAACTCATTCCAAAAACTTATCATATTATTATTATTATGACGTGAGCCACATTTAGAAAGCTTTATATATTTATTCAAATATTTTGGAAGAGTCGAATTAGATGAAATCTCTATCACAACATATAAGACATTGTAGTTTCTAATATATGAATTAAAACTGTTTTTGCTACTATATTTGAAAATTCAGCTTCCTCCTTCCTACTCCCCGCTACTATCGCAAACCTTACTTGACAGGATTATTTATAATGCAAATACAATCCCACAATAACATTAAAAAACGTAAGCCTTTTTCTTGTTGAGTTTTCAATTATATATATTTTAGTCTTTTAGCTCAATATTTTTGTCACAAATTTATAATAAAAATTAGAAATCATTCATTGAGAAATTATTTAGTTGCATACTTTTAGGGCAGAGAACACGGCGAGCTTACAGTGAAGCTATTTTCTGAATTACTCTGGTCATAATGCCTTGACAAAAAAAGGAAAAACTGATTGATATGCCTGTACTATAATTATATATAAAATTGCAGCAGTTCGCCAAAGACACGTCCATTTGTTAGCCTTTTATAAAAGTCTCGTTAATGCCACATCGCTCAAATTGAAGTACTATTTTTTGCTTTTGGCCACGTTTATAGTGAATATAATGGTTATTACGGTCGTTTTGTTGATCAATTTCCTCGTGAGTTATGGGACAAGCATAAGGAAATATTAATAATACGCCATGTTGTGTTTGTTTATGTAATGACTGCCGTTGCTGCTGTCCATCGAGTTGTGAATAATGTTGAACAATAAACACACAAAGCCTATACCTTTTAGCGCTTGTTAAGTATTACATTTTCGCCACATTAAACAGAGAGAGACCCCATTATTTGATGTAGGCATAAGCTTGTGGCAGAACTGAATGCATGCATATATATATTTTGGTATGGTGTATGTATCTGTATCTCATATGTATGCATCTGTATCTGTATCTTAAGCGTGAGTGTGCATCTGCATATCGATTTCAGTTCGTCGTCCTGAAGCCCCATTCTGTCGCATAAGGCAACTTAATTCGTTTCCGTTTTTTGGCAGGGTAACAACAAATATGAAACATAAAAGCCACAGGGTTGCCAGCCTTTTGACAGCTTCCTTGCTTCCTTGCTGCGGTCTTAGCTCATGTATCCTGTGTCGCGTCGATTTCTTCTCTTTTTATTTGTGTATGCCACAAGTCCCAAGTTGCGCGTCTTTCCGTTTCCGCTTTGGCGCATGGAGACATAGATTTAGACTTCTGCTGCCTTCCT